GCTGTTAATCAGTCCGCCCTCCCTGCCTATGTACATGCCTGCAACCAATCCACTCTTCGGGACTGAGTTAGGTCTATTTTCGGCTAAGATGGCTGAAGGTTTTCTTGGGCTCTGTCCAGCATAGTTGCTGCCACATTGCAGCAACATGTCATTGCTTCCACTTCTCTAAAATCGCAGTTATCACTCTCCTCGTGCAAAGCAACCTTCTGTTTTGTCGTCGCTTCCTGTTGTGAACAACGTGAGGGAGAGAGAAGGAAAATGGACGGAGGGCTGGGCTTGAGAAGTAGGGAGAAAGGAAATAGGGCCAAGCCCAGAAAGGAAGAAAGAACAAGCAAAGGGGCTTTGGCCTAAACAGCTTAGATAATTAAAAGAGGGGCCAGCCCTATCAGGCCGGATCAAATCAGCCCGACCAATTCCTTTTTTTTAAAAAAACTTATTATCTCTCTTTTACATTAATTTGGCCCACTTACAATTTAACTATTGATTTAACGAGGTGGGCAAAATTATGTGTCAACAATGCCTAGTAAATTTTCCATAACAAGAAAAGAGGAGTTTCAGGGTTTATATCTAGGGTTAATACCACGAAAAACCCCAAACTAGTACGCCTGTGATAATTTTACCTCAAACTAATTTTTTAACTACCAAAAACCCCAAATCGATACGCTTGTGACAAATTTACCCTCAATTTATTTCCGTTAAATTTTATTGTCAAATTACTTTGTTAAATAACACGCCACAGTTAACTGATATACAAGTTTTATGTTTTACCTTCCATTTGTCACGGGTGTACCAGTTTGTGATTTTTTGCGATATTAATTCAATTTAATGGAAACTAACTTAAGGTAAATTTGTCACAAATATACCAGTTTTGGGTTTTTAGTGATCAAAATATTAGTTTGGGGTAAATTTGTCACATGTGTATCAATTTGGGGTTTTTCGTGGTATTAAACCTTATATCTATATACTTTGTTTATGATCAATGAAGCTTGAAGCTTCACGACCAAGAGTGGCAGGTCATCTGAGTTCTGGACTTCCTCACAACAAACGGATGAAACCAGAACATGCACATCAATTCCTAATCAGAATCTCTGCTTAGCACCTAAGCACATCTCAATCACAAATCATTAATTTAAATCTTCCTTCCACATTATTATATTCTAAAGTGCTAAGTAAAACAAATGGACAAAGTCAAGAGTTCTGAGACATAAATCAACACAAGGATATCATCTTCTTGACCTTCATCCTCATTACCCTCCATCTTCTTCACCCAAAAAAAATGGACATTGACATCGCGTCGGCGACACTCTACTCCGCGGCACTCGTTCCGATCGCTCTCTGCATCGCCTTTGCTCTCCTCCTCCCGAAAACCTTCACCGGCAAGTCCCTCCGAAGCTCTAAGTATCCGCCCGTTCGGGGGACGGTCCTTGTTCAACTCGTCTACTTCAACCGGCTCTACAACTACATGACCGGAATCGTGAGGAGGTCTGTGACGTTCCGTCTCCTCGCGCCAGACCATAGTGAGATTTACACGGCCGATCCGACGAACATCGAGCACATATTAAAGACCAACTTCGATAATTACACGAAGGGAAAGTATAACATAGATATAATGAAGGATTTGTTCGGGGAGGGGATTTTCGTGGTGGATGGAGAGAAGTGGAAGAAGCAGAGGAAGGTCACGAGCTTCGAGTTTGCGACGAGGGTGCTCAGAGATTTTAGCTGTTGCGTGTTCAGGAAGAATGCTGCGAAGCTGGTCAAGGTCGTGGAGGAGTCATCAGCTGCTTCAGAGGGATTCGATATGCGAGTAGTTTCAATTTTAAATAGTGAGAACTCCACGAAGATCACAACCACTGTGAAAGAAAGATAAGTCGAATGGAATCGAACATAAAGACTGCATATCTGCAATAGAATATCCAAATATGCTAAAGTTGGTCATCGGGATTTGATTGATAATGTAACTTTTTCTGAAAAATGATTGAATATGTATGCAATCTGAAGAGTTAGAAATAGCTAGTCTTGAAGAGAACCTAGGATAGACGAAAACCGTTGTCACTCGACCATAGTAGCAACAATCACATTTACAGCAGAAAAGAAGGTAACAGGACATTGTACATTAATTAGTTTGCTTATCGTATTGTCTTATATCGTGTCTGAAGGATATATTGATGAGATGCACCTTGGATTCCATCTTCAAAGTTGGATTTGGTGTGGAATTGAATTGTTTGGAAGGATCAAGCAAAGAGGGAAGAGACTTCATGAAAGCTTTTGATGAGGCGAATGCACTAATCTACCGGCGATACGTCGATCCCTCTTGGAAGCTCAAAAGACTACTCAACATCGGTTCAGAAGCTCGTCTTAGGAATAACATTACACTCATCGACAATTTCGTGCATCAACTTGTCAGAACCAAGACGAATCAACTCCCGGCGCAGCGGGAGCGTGTGAGTATTTTCCTTTTCTTTTTTTATTACTGAAGGTGTGAGTACATAGTGTACATTTAGCTCTTTGATTTTTTAAGTTTACGAGCTTCTTCTGTCAAGACACAATGCAAATTCGGAAGAGGATTAAGGCATGTGATGTTGCGGAAGATTTTAATAACAATAACTTTGAAAGAATTCTGTAGAAGCTCCAGTACAGTTAGGTTTCAGAGGAATTCTGGCTAGAAAAACTTGTGGCGCCATCTAAAGATCGTTTTCATCACAAAGCCATACTATTTTCAAGGTTTATTCTTAAGCAATTCCTCTGACTGATTATTCCTTTTCCCTATTTTCTTCCTACAAGAATGACAAGGAGGACATTCTCTCAAGATTTTTGCTCGAGAGCGAGAAAGATCCCAAGAATATAAACGAGAAGTACTCGGGAGATATAATTCTGAATTTCATGATCGCTGGAAAAGATACTACTGCAAATACCTTATCCTGGTTCCTCTACATGCTCTGCAAACATCCCCTAGTGCAGCAAAAGATTGTTGATGAAATAAAGGAAGTGATGGGAGATCAAGCAAGTGAAGCTACCCTGATTGTTTCGAGGAAAGAATAACTGATCCGGTGCTTGACAGAATGCACTATCTTCATGCCACGCTCACAGAGACATTGAGGCTCTATCCTGCAGTTCCGGCGGTAATCTTCTGTTCACTTGTAAGAATTAAAGTTTGAACCTCTAACCCATCACAGAAAATAATAAAGAAGTTCAAACTGAGCTTGAGATATTATGAACTCAAATCAATACATCAGCACAACATTGGAGCTTGAAGAGAGCATATCGCAGTGGATTTGAGTAGACCGCCATTGACCTTGGACAACAAAATCTAAGATATTACAATTATCCTGACTTTTACAAGCTACGATGCATTATTGAGGTGTATTTATGACAGACTAAAAATTATAGTTGAGTGCATGTTCGGGAATCCTTTCATTTGCAAGAAACAACTATGCAGGTCAAATATTTCCATCATAGATATAGTGCTAGCTTTTCATTCATGAACAAATACTACTGCTTCCCTTCTGACTGCATGATCATGCAACTAATTCTAAAGTCGTATTAGAAGCAAAAGGGTCAATATTCTTTTGAAGATAACATGATCAGTAACGATGCAGATGCTATAAATCCATCAGATTGGCAATTAAAAATCAAGCACAAGCCAAAGAGAAGACGCGTTTAACATGATTCAGCTTTTTTGTAGCAATACATCCTAACTTTGGTCTTTTTTTACTTCTGCACAACAGGATGGAGGATGTGCTGAAACAGATGATGTTCTCCCAGATGGCTTCCACGTGAAAAAAGGGGACGGCGTATATTACTTGGCTTACTCAATGGGAAGAATGCATAATATTTGGGGTGAAGATGCCGAGGATTTCAAACCAGAAAGATGGTTGAAGGATGGAATTTTCCAAAACGAATCACCTTTCAAATTTGTTGCATTCAATGTTTGTTTCTCTATCCTAAGTCCTCGTGAATTGAATATTCGAAGCATGTGCATCTTCAGTGACACTCTTTCTTTCCTATTTACAGGCTGGTCCTAGGATCTGCCTCGGGAAGGATTTTGCATATCGCCAGATGAAAATAGTTTCAGTAGCTCTGCTTCGCTTCTTCCGTTTCAGATTAGCTGATGAAATTAGACCTGTAACCTACAAGGTCATGTTCACCCTTCACATCGACAGTGGCTTACATCTTCGTGCTATTCCCAGATTGGTTACATAAGAACTGGACTATCATTGAGTATGATCCATCGCGACATATGGATTTCTAATGTTGGATGCTAGTGATTTTCACTGATAAGTAAGCATGTGCACTACAAGATCTTATTATTGCATGTAAACATTGGAATAATAAGGTGTTCTGCTTAAATTCCATATATAATTTGTGTTAGCCTTTGAGAGGCTAACAAGCTATTATGTTCCTAGAACTGAAATGGTTTTGAAGCTCATCTAATAATCAGCCGTCCAGCACTTCATGATATCATTGACGTACCAATCAGTCAATCAGCTAATTGGCTTCGGCTGAGCCGGACCTATTCTCAAGTCTACATACTGAGAACAAGTGTTTCTGTTACGAATAACTAAAGCACTTAATTAAATGTCTACAAATAAGGGAAAGAAGAATGGTTCTTCCTATGATAAAAGAAATGACACATCCTATGACAACAACTAGATATCTCAAAACTAACACTATAATAATCATACAGGAAAAATACAGAATACCATCATAAATCACCCCAAAACATTTGGCCAAAATATTGTCCCGAAAGGAGGTCACAATGATAATGAAGAGCCTATTGTTGAAGGAAGTTGGCTACCGGGCCGGGATGCCCATCCTCTGCGATTTCGGTACGCCTCAATAGCCTGTAAACGAAGTCGCTGTTGGGATGCATTTTGCGGGGTCTTCAATGCCTTCACCCAAATCAACATGAAAAGAATTGAATGGGTCAGCGGGAATGAAAAAACCATTTTCAAAATCTGCAGCAATAGTCAATTTACCACAAAAAAAACATAGAACACTACCTTAGGGATCATGGTCAATTTGGGCGGAGCTTCAACAATGTCTCCAAATTTGACCTTCTCATGTCCGGGAAAGTCCATGTCATCCTTATCATTGGCCTTCTTGTGTTTCTTTTTTTTTGATTCTCTATACCTAAACAGACAAATATAAGATCATACTCAGAAAGACAGTCTGAATAATCTATATGCAAACAAAAGCATCTTGGAACTACCATGACTCCTTAGCAAAGAAGCAAGTCAGATATGAGTCTAAATTGACTATCAACTAGCTCTTGCATATTCACATTACATTTCATCCAAAATATTCACTAGATGCACAGCCAGATTTAACAAGTATAGATTACAACCGCATGCGGATTTTACAGAACTCACAGGAAGAGACCGCTAATTTGGGCAAGACTAGGGATCTCGCGTCAATGACATCAAAAGATCGTTATCTGTTAGTTCCAGAAAAAAATTATTTCCTTAATTTAGTAATCTGTGTCTAGAGTGACAATAATGGATTCTTACATATCCATTTTCTATGCAACTACTCTTACACTTGAAAAGCTCCAGCCCTCTCATTTAAGTCGAGGTTTCCTTCAGCCCTAAACTGTCTGAGAATTACCCTATGGCCAATGCCTTGCAAATGACCTCTTTCTGCAAATGCTGTGTTATAGGATAACTAGATCTAGTGCCAGTACATTGCTTCACTGAAGCTGATGTCATTCTAGAACTCACTCTATTGTTCCTTCAACCCAGCAAAAAGATTAATTTTCCCTTTGACAATATTGCTTCAGACATTACAAAAGTGGATCTCCCTCATATCCACCCCCAGAAGTAGCAGAGTGACCAGCTGGTACGAGCCACGTTTCATCATGTTCATCTTTATTCAATCACGAGATCCCTACAAGAGGCGAAATCTCTTCTAGTGGCAATGATCTCGAGCATATCCTATTATCATCACTAGCTTAAGCTAGGCATTGACAGAACATGGAAACTGAAATCTAGGTGCCGTCAATAATGTAATAAGAAAAGCAACATGCATTTGTAGTATAAACTTATCGCGGAATACATTTTCTTGCGTTCCTTCCTTCTAGAACTGGTGCTTGATTCCTCCGGCGCTTGAAATCGAAGATCTTCGGGTTGCCCTTTCTTTCCTTTCCTCTTTCTCTTTTTACCTGCACTCTTCCGACTGATTTCATCATTGTCGTTCCAAGGCGTAGTTAACCGTTCATCACCACCTCCAACTTCACTTGCAGTAGCTTTTGAGTCAAGCCCACCCTTCCGAGAGTGTTTCTGCAAAACAAAATTTAAAAGTCAGAACTTGACGAGCTTCCTGGAACATCTTGTGTGGGAACAAAAGAGAGAAAAACAATGATCAGAAAAGGCAGGTCAGCAGGAGAAGATATGAGTGGAGACAAAATATGAATCATCATTCTGGCTTCACTGGACAATTGTTTCCTTGATCAGTTCCAGTTATATAATCTGGCTAGAGGAAAGGGAGTGACCTCTAATCATGAGGAACATTCTATTCAAATACAGAAGAAACTATACCCAATCATGAACTCATCTAGAATTGTAGCACAGATACATAATGACATTTCTAAACCGTTTTAATCAAGCAGGTCATAACAAGCAGAAGCTTCTGTTTTTGTAACTCCATAACAATATTGAGACAAGCATTTTGAAACCCACTGAACTACAAGGAACAATGAATACACGGCTTCGACAAAAATTTATCGAAATGAAAATATGAAGGAACAACAAACATGGAGACTAAGTTAATGAGGCAAACAACAACTAAAAGCAGCTCCCTAGGAAGAAAAGAAGCTGAATTCAACCAAACGCCACGGCATCCACACTCCAATGTTTCGCACAATTTCTACCTGCGGTTTCGGAAGAAACGAAGGCGAGCCCACTTCCCAGACATCAATTAGCAAAGAGAAACACGGAACCAACGACAACATTACTTGGGAAAGAGACGGACTTTTGGAGGCCCAGGAGTACCACAACCAACATTGCCCCCAGAAACCAATCGAATGGAGCCGCGGAACTTACTTCATCGTCTCCCGACTCGCTCCTCTTGCAGGTCTTACCGGCATTCGAATCATTCGCCGCACCTGAAAAGCACGGAACGGAAGAGGGAACGAAAATGGGTCTCAACAGAAGCAGCAGAGGGATACGACAGAGTTGGCTCTAGAGAGAGAGAGAGAGAGAGAGAGAGAGAGAGAGAGAGGGGAAGGGAGGAGAGACCTTGGGGAGGTGGAGGTGGAGAGGAAGCGAAGGAGATGAGCCTGCGGAGCTTGGAAGGCAGAGCGTCCACCTGGGAGGGATCCGGCGGCGGAGGAAGGGCGGTGCCGCCGCCGTGAGCCGCCCTGTAGTTCTTCTCTCGCCGCCGCCTCCCCTTGCCCACCATCTCTCTCTCTCTCGCGCTGCTGCTGCTCCTGAGGAAAACTTGCCGCTCCGCCGCCGGGAGGTGCTTTGGGGAAGAAAGCACAAAGAACTTTCTTTTCGGGGGGCCCGAAAGAGATCGCAATTGATTGATGGTCCAGTGTTTTGCGTGTGATTCTAGTAACAGTCCCTACTGTTTCGTTTTATTTTCAATTTAGCCCCGTACCTTTTCATCGCTTTCAATGTCACCCCCTCTATAAGTTTTGGTGGCCCTTTTGGCGAGAAAATATTCGGTTTCACATAAAAAAATAATTAAAAATCCAATTAGAGCACTGACCCAGTGACCCTCTTATTTCTCTCTCTCTCTCTTCTCCTCCATCACAGCCATGGCTGAGCTCGAGTCCCGCTGCGCTTCCCGGGGCCGCCTCCAGGCCGACTGCAGCCTCTATCGTCTTTGTGGTTAGCTCAGCGCTTCCTTCTATTCCTTTGTTTTTAATTTTGCGTTTTGAGTTCAAAGTCATTACCCGTCACGATGACTTGTCCATGGTCACCGGGATCTCGACCTAGCTATCAAGGGTTGCAACCATGGACCAGTCGTGGTCACCAGATTCTAGAGCCATGGCTCCTAATCCGGAAGTTCAACTCCGTCAATGGTGTTCGCCAGATTTGGCAGTTCAGCTTTGTCGGATATCACAATCTTCGAGGTTAGATCCGTCTAGGATCATGACGGTCGAGGCATGTCTCCGTCAAGTCGAGCCACTCCCTCTCTTGTTTTGTCAAGCTCGGGGTCTCCGTCGGCTTGTCACTAGCATATTAGTCGACATGCATCTTTCTAGTAGTACGATAACTCACATTTGCGAACTTATTGTGCAATCACAAACAACGATATGCGTGATATAAGATGGATTGGTGGTGTTTCAATCAAAGAAATTTCTGGTTATTGTCTTTTTTTCGTTTATTTGTTATTTTTTGGGCCTTGCAAGGGCATGTTAATATTACTGCTAGAAAAAAAAACTAAAATAACGAGCAGAAAATAGGAAAAAGCAAATTATATTTGGATTGATAGCACGGTTCATTCGGAAAAATTTTGGTCGATTCATTTAACTTTTTGGTCAATATACATTATTACCGTTGTCGAAAATTAAAGACACTCTCGAATCCGAACTTGTACAATTGAAAACCGTGGGTCGGCCCAAAACACACCTGAGAATTTCACCAAGGAATATAAAAAAAAAACTATGTAGTACAGAATGGAGAATGGAGGAATTTGCAATTACATATGAAAGGTTACGTGAGCAACACAACAATAGCATTGGTATGCTATTGTTGACGTCACGATGACCCCAAACAATGTGCTGCCGAGGTAGGCAGCCCAAGCGAGTTTTGTGACCCCAGGTGGCGCAACGCGAGGACTGCACGACTAGATAATGCGTCACAGCCAGATCCAGCTCACTTGCGGCTCTCACGCCGATGCACGTGTCAAGAACCCAGGCATCACTGCGGAAGCGAGATTTAGCTAGCTCGCCTGTGGCCCTCGCATCAATGTCGATCTCAAGAAACCAAGCAACGCCGCCGTTGAGGTCGCGCGACCCTAAGCAATGGAGCACTGGGTTTGTCAAACCACCAACGGTAGTAAGTACATTAACCAAGGCCACAATTTTTGCCTTGCAGTTGTTTGTGGATAATGTGTTATGTCTGAATTCTTCCTGTGTATGTCAGCCGAAGCTGAAATTCCGTGGAAGCTATATCGCAATATTTAAATATTAAAGGTGCAGTCATTACGCAATGCATTATTCATCATGTACGAATCTAAGGGACAAGATAAAATAAAGGGAGAAAATTAAATGAAGTAGTACAATTGCGTGAATTAGTGCAACGAATATTCGAACATATATGAATTCATATATTTGTATTAATAATTTATTAACCTACGAATCCATATTTTTTTTTTGTATGAAAAAAGGCTAAAACCAAATAAAAAAATTCAGCGACTTGAATCTAAACATCCCTATTTTATCACCTAATAAAACATGAAATAACTTTTAAGGAGGCAAATAAAAGAATCTAGTCTCAAGGGCTTATCCTTTCAAGATTAGCAAGCCAATCAGCAAGACAATTTTCTTCCAAAAAGTTATGTTGCAATTTGAATTTCAAGTGAGAGCTCAAGGGTCTTCTGATATCGTTAAGCAATTATGATTGTGCATTTAACAGTAATCCAGATTATATACATATATATATAGAATTTATTTTTAGAAAGTGTAAAGGAATAAGTATTATCAAAGAGACAAGTTGATTTGGCTATCTTATTAGATAATTCGACTTCAATTAGGACATGATTTGGATTTCTAATAATTATAGCTGCAGACAAATTGATTTGGCAATCTTATTGGAGAATCAAGTATTGATTAGGACATGATTTGGATTTCTGGTAAGTATGAATGCAGGCAAGTAGGTTAGGCAATCTTATCTAATCGCGGACTTGCCTCTTCGATGATATATATCCTTATACGCTGTCTAATAATAAATTCGGTTTGACATTATACCATATATAAAGTTGTGTCTATATATAACATGACCGGTCATTTTAATATAAAATACGTGCCTTCACAAGAAAACTAAGTGAAAATCTCCAATCTCCGTGATAAGAAAATCGAATCATGCAACCTCAGTTTCTTCCCTATTCCTGATCCTTTTCCTCATGACCTTCTAGTTCAGGACACCTACAAGAAGATTGTTGCTTAAGATGCATTGTTGAACTTCGACTGTTGCGTGAAGTCTCTTGGGTCAGACCCAGAGAGCCATGAGGTGGATCTCAAGGGACTAGGCTGATCAGGCTCAAGTTGTGCAGCTAATCATTAATTTGGTGTTCAATCGAACCACATGAACTCTATACATCTACATATTTGAGTATATTATCTGTTAGTTATTCGGTTTAAATGACAAAAATGTAAATATTCTTTTTCTTATGGCTAGGCATCCAACTTAGGATCTTACGCCCTCCCTCCTTCAAATCCCAACTATCGGGCAGTTTTGTTTAGCATCGAACAACAACACCAAAATGAATTCCACACAGATATCAGCTCTCAATGACTAATTCGATTGGAATCGATTTATCATGCATTCGTTAGAGACTCAACTTGAGATATTGATGGGCCACCAATGTGCTCCCTTTTGGACCCAATGAAATTTTCGAACGTCAATTTTGATTTATGGAGATCAGGTTCATTCTAATAACTGTCATTTGTCTATAGGTAAAGGATCTTCATCCATAAGAATCCATTTGCAAGAAATAGAGTCTATATACAAAAAATTACTATAAAAGAGGACTCAAAGAACCATGGAGATTCATAGACCATGCATTAAGTACTATGATGGACAATTCGATATACCTTTTATCAAAGGTGGAACCATGCCTCTCTTCGGCGAAAACTGTGTCGCAGATATCTTCGTAAGTTATCACTGCAGACACCCCAGTATTCACAAGGATGTAACACTTGCCTTGTAAGCTGGGGTCATGTCTTTGCCTTCGAATAAAGGAGTAAAGATCCGAGCAAAGCTAGAGCCCGATCAGTCCTAGTCCCACGAGATCCACCTCATGGCTCTCTGGGTCTGGTCCAAGAGACTTCACATTGAAGTCGAAGTTCCAACTCTAAGTCATTGGCTGCAATCTTTGCAGGTGGCCTGAACGATATCATTTTCAATTGGACATAGTGGAAGATTGTGAGGAAAAGGATCAGGAATAGGGAAGAGATTGATAGGTGATAATACCTTTATATGGCCATAATATAATTTAGTTATAGTAAACTCTTACTCATGTAAAGGATACACTATACGAGTCGTAAAGAAAGCACCAACAGCAAAATACATTATGTTCACATCTTGTTTGCCTACCCAATATTAATTATTAGTCTTAGAAAAGAACACCAAGGTTTAATTATTACAATAAACCTATGAAGGTTTTGCAATAAAATCGATGCCTTTCTGCCCATAAATGAAGTTCATCGACCATAAAGCCTGCGAAGTAGCTTCATAACAATAAGAAATACTCGATTTTAAATTATGAAGTTAGCAATGAGAAATACTTTCTTATCCAGCAAAGAAAGGTTAATTTGCCCTACTAACTCAAGCTTAGACATGTTTTATGTTCGATTCTTGAAAATCAAATGCTTTCACTATACTCTTGGTGATATTTTATATCATTTTCTACACGAATTAATGCATTGAACTCTTTTGTTTTAAACGCTTTCATCATATCATGAGTCTCAATTGGAACAAAAAAGTTCATAAGGATTTGAAAGGGAAAAGTGCCAAAAAAGTCCTAAACCTTTTGCGTTTGTACTAATTTAGTCCTAAACCTTTTTTTTGTGCCAATTCAGTCCTTCCGGCCAATTTTGGTCGGATTTTGCTGACGTGGACGCCGGCCGGCCTGCGGCCGATCACCGGTGCTGACATGGACAACTTTTAATAATATATTTAATATTTTTTTGAATTTCTATTTATTTATTTTCTTTTTTTTTCCTCCCCCCTCCTTCCTCCAGCCAGTCGCCGGACCGGCGACTGGCCAGAGACCAGAGGCCGGTGAGGTCCTCGCCAGCCACTAGCACGACCTTGCCGGCCATTGGCGAGGCTCGCCTTCACTAGCAACGACGAAGGCGAGCCTCCCCATGGCTGGACGAGGCGAGGTCGACTTCGCCGACCCCTGGCGAGGCTCGCCCTCACCAGCGAGGGCGAAGGCGAGCCTCGCCATGGCTGGGCGAGGTTGGACCTTGCCAGATCTAGCAAGGTCGACCTCGCCGACCCCCGGCGAGGATCGCCCTCGCCAGCGACGGCGAAGGCGAGCCTCGCCATGGCTGGGCGAGGCTGGACCTCGCCAGATCTAGCAAGGTGGTGCCTCGCCCAGCGGCCGACGAGGCTCGACCTCGCCAAATCCGGCGAGGTCAGGCCTCGCCCAGCCACCGGTGAGGCTTGAGCCCTCGCCAGAGGCCCCCTCCGGACAACTTTTATTTTTATGGCTCGGGATCGAACTTGGGACCTCGCGCACTCCCTCCAAATCCCAAATATTGGGCAG